AACTCATACACATAAACACTGCCCCATTTGGCCTTGGTGTGTTATAATCGTTAACTGGATATCCAAAAGCGCTGCTGTACCTTATTTGCTATTTGAATAACGGAAGAAAAAAAAATGAATAACGAATAACGGGAAAACTCGTTTTTCGTTTTTCGAGCTCATGCGCTAAAACACTGCCGTAATTGACCTTGGCGTGTTAGAGTCGTTATCTGGATATCCAAAAAAACACTAATGATTCTTATTTGGTATTTGAAAACGAAAAACAAAAATTGAATAACGAATAACGGGAAAACTCGTCTTAGGCCCTTTTGTCGTCGTGACTTTATCGTCTTGCCGTGTATTTCCCCTGTGTTCAACATCTGAAAATTATATTTGGAAAGCAAATATGTAGTATTACAACTTGAAATTACGCGACGTCGAAAGGATATTCCTGTTGTAGTGTACGCAATCTCATTACAATCAGATGTTGATAAAAAAATACCTACGGTTCATGCGGTACGTAATAATGAACAGCTGTATTTATTCAGATTGGTAGTGAACGGTAATTGAATTCCTTCCAGTGGTATAGTCAAATCTATATGACCCGTATTGATAGTAGTTTACCGTGTGATATATTGCACAAGGCCACCAAGGGACATACGTTATTATCAAACCATTGTGAGGCATTAAATGGCTGTTTAATTGCATAATTAGAGAAATGATATCAAACATACTTTATATAACAGTTTAACTTATTGAGTCAATTACAGTTAGCTGTGACGTGAGTTCTGCAATGGTTTTTGTACTGCCGACAAGTACGATTTGATAATCCTTTACAATATTTGTCACCTTTCTGTCTGTTTTTACGGTAATACACTTTTCACAGTAGTTCAAAATTGTCCTCACTAGCAAAGAAAAAGGTCTTTTTGACTACAAAGTTAAGATGACAGGTAAACGATATAACAGTCAATGACAAATAATCGCATGTAATCAAAATCTTTTTGGGGAAATTGTAACGTGACGATCACGTGACAGTTCCTACGTTAACCGTGTTACCTTGCAATAAATGTTATATAGAATACAAATATCACATTATATAATATAAACTTTATATATTATTACGTTATGTAGTAACAAGACACACAATATTCTTATCTTTGAAAAAAAAATGAAGAAAAAAGTGAGCGTTATTCAATTAACGGCAGTAGCAAAATACAAAGGATTTCTACAAAATATACATGACAACTCAACATGTTTATGTTCGATATTTCATTTTGTAATTTATTCATAACGTAAATAAATATTGCTGTGGTAAATTTCTTATGTACTTTTTCGTTTTGAACAAAATTTTGGTCTGAGATCATCATTATCTATTCTAATGACCCTATGTAGTATTTTAATAATGTAATTCCTCACTAACAGATGTAAAACAAGGAACCTACTGTTGTATCCAAATGCCATTGTGGGTTTGATGACAGGACTTCGGACTATGGCCATTTCGTCCGTTTGTCTTTTCGGTCGAACAGACCATCTGTAGCACCTATTACACCGAAAATACAGCATTCAGTACTCATAGACCGTTATCCATTCGTCCTTTTGTGTTGAAAGTATGACATTTAGTATTTATAATCATTTCGTTCTTTGTGTACCTCGATAATAACGGTCAACACTAGTACTGTAAAAGTTTGAAGTCTTAACCAAGAAAGATTCTCACATTTCTTGAAAGCATAAAGCGCATCACCCCAAAGGGAGCTCGAAACTACCGTATTAAGGTGGCTCGACACATCGTCATCAGCGTCCATTTTCGTGACATACTTCCGGAAAAAGTACAGCTAGGACTCAATTATCTTAATCGAAATGTGCATGTACACCGTGTCGTCATTTCCGTATTGCGTATCGGGCATTCAATATCGTAGTGCAAATTATAGTAACACCTGCTGGGCCGTTTTCGTTTAAACGGTCAAACCGATCGGACCACTGTTGTTCGTTTATTAAATAAGGTCGGACCTAGTAATCTGATGCTGCTTTCAGGCGAGTCTTGAGAAAGCCTTGCAAGGCCTGCATACACATTTGCAGGTCCGCCAGGATTTACACCCGAAATTGTTACATTTATAAACGGTCAAACCGGTTGTTCCGCATAAACGAACAGGCCCATGGTAAACAATAGTACACGTGCGTGCCGATGATATGTCAACACCCGATATCAAGATTTTACCGGGAAATGTATACTCACACGTACTTCAGGAATAAAGCTTTCCAATTCATAGACATAAACAGACTCACGGGAAGACAGTGACATGAGACCAGACGACCTCA